GGAGCCAGAGGGAAGTCACTCGTAGTTGGCACGGAAAATTTTTTAATAGTTGCTTTTTTCTTTTCATGCGCACTACCCCCACCTCCTCTCTCTCTCCCTTTGTTGGCGGCGCAACCATAGTCCTATGCAGGCGCTCTTTGCGATGGTCGAAACTGCGAGTTGTTTGGTGGCGATCTTCCTCCTCCCTCAAAATTTTGGGGAAAGCCTGGGAATTTTCGGAAATTTTCTTAAGGAGAGGTAGGAAGTTGGGGAAATTCAGGAATGTAGTGAGTAGCATGGAGGAGGAGGGTTGTACCAGGGGAGGAAATTTCAAGAGTGGGATCGTGTTTCGCAAAAATTTTCTCCAACGACAAGAAGTGCCCTGTGTTAATTAACACGAACTAGCAAAAAGAACTAACGAAAGTGCGAAATGCCTCTTCCCTCCCCCCCCCACACCGAAAAGCGCAGTGTTTTGTGATTGTTAACGAGCGACTTGTGGAAGTTGTCGCGCAAGATAATTCTTCAGTGATTTTTAGCTTCCTCACAAGCACGAGTTCTCCGTACATCGCACGTGTATGGCGAGGGTTGGCAGGCTGTCACATGCGGATATAGAAGGAAAAATCTATGGTTCAGCTCAAATGCATAGGCGTTTCGGATACAAGATGGCTAGTGGGCTTTTCCATAAGAAAGACGGATACTTTGGTCGTAAGGTTGGTTTGGTTTTCATGATCGAGGAAGCGTTTCTATCGTTTCATTCTTCAGATTCGCCCACTCCCTCCAGTTCGTGTTCTGGACGAACCTCCTCCACCACCAGCTCCGAATCAACAGTTCACTCTAACCAAAGATCAGCTCAGCGGACTCTTCGGGCATGCGAAAGTACACAATTTGTTACCGTCTGGTTACTCAACAAGAGATTATGATTATTACAAACCGAAACCAGAATAGGAGTAGTTTAGGATGTAGAAGTATGTTGTTATAAATTGTTGATCTTCGATAAAAAAATAAAGACTGACTTCGTACTGCCGAAGTTCTGATTTTTACCTGGTGGCTTGTCGTACTAGTGATGAGTGAATGGTTTTCTACGTGAAGGTTCATTTCTCAGTGACTGGAACGTCACATCATCCATAATAGGAAGGTGGGGAGTTCAGGGTGGACGTAAATGATTCCAACTGACCATGAGAAGAACTGAGAAGATACTCCGAACCTGAGGGACCGTGACTTGAGTTCCGAGCAGAAACAGGATTGCCTTGGTTTCTAAAGACCACACCTACGCACCGTCAAGCTTCTCCGAGTCTTCCTCCTCATCCGCTTTTCGAGAGTAGGACATCTCTTAGAACTCTATGTTCCGGTTTGCATGCTTTGGAATCCAGTACTAACAAGACGAACCGTCCGGTGGATTGAGATAGGGAGTGGAGGAAGGACACCACTGAATCTGACGAAGCGCAGAAAGTTGACTTTGAACCAAGTTTGTATCCGCCTGAAGCGATGGGTATTAACTCTCGCTAGAACGTTCCTGGACCGAATCTTAGTCCATGCAAGGAGGCCTGTGCCAAACAGGGCACCTTAACTATGTATTTGCGGACATCTCTTAACACACTGAACGCCGCGGCGTTTTTGCTGCGTCTCCCGTTTACACTTTCTGCCTCTCTGCGCGCGTGAATTGTCTCCAATGCAACGGGAGTATTTGTACCGCACGCCCTTAGCACGGCCATTCTGTTTTCCTTTGCGATTATTTCTCGCGTGGACGTTATTCAATAGAAATGAAAACAGTTCAATTAGCATACATGGAATACTAGAATACGAAATAGTGGATCTCAACATTAGTTGCGAAGACGTGAGGATCTGAAGGTGATGAGGATTTGGAACACTGGATTTGGAACAACCTGAAAGATAGTTGCTTGCTGACTCCTTGGAAGAGGGCCATGACTATAATTAGGAAGAAGGACTGTACTCAACTAATATTTCGTAACATATATCATCATAGCAGGACCATTCGAGGGAGGCTTCAAAGTCCGGTTCGGTGAGGGAGGCTTCAAAGTTTTACCTAGCTCTCGAGCCTTCTGTGGTGGTTCGTGTGTTGTGAAATGAATATCATGTCATACAGGAAGAACCTGTATGACATGATATGCTTTGACGAAAGCTATGTGATCAACTAAATCGCATGAGCGAGGTAGGAATGCATAAAAATCGAACGATGCTATAGCTAATGACGTTTGCAAGACTGCAAGGATAAAGGATGGCAATCAATAAGCGTACGATCAATAACAAGAATCAATAGGAGTCAAGGGGCCGAAGCGGGAAGAAAAGTGGGGAAGGCAGCGTTCATACCTTGCCGACAGCAGCGGCGATCGCGGCGACCTCGCGATCGTCGGTACGTGGCAGAGCGCGCCCCAACGCTATTATGGACTGCTCGCTTGATAAATAAGGAAATCCAACTTGTGAGACCTTCTTTTCTCTTAATAATGGCTACTAACTGATAACTTACGACTTTCTATACATAAGCGGATCTGGAATATGAGGTAAGGAGGTTTCACTTCTTTTTAGGTCGGGATGAGGCCAACTCCATTTCCTGGGTGAGCTTCTTTTTGTTTCTTTGTTTTATTGTTTTTCAATTTATACAAGCGCCTCAAAATTCCTATCGTCTGAACTGTTCCAACTTCCAAAACATTTATAGTTCACAAGTCGAGTTCAAACAACGAAGAAAAAAAAGAAACAGAAAGAAACTCACCTAGGAACCAAAACACTAATCATTTTACGCAACATCAACAGGTGGAAACGTTATAACCTCATGCATAAGCTCGACGAATGAAAAAAGAAACGAATAAAAACCACCCTAAATGAAGCTCTCAGCTTTTTGCTTATTTTTATCCTGAATCAAGAAAGAATAGAAACAAAAGCCATTAAGTAGGGTTCAGCCTTCTGTGTCAAGGCCAGGAAAGCTTTAGAGCCTGTGAAAATTGTAGATTACGTAAGAAAAAACATGAAATTGAGCCGTCTCTTACCCCAAAAAGCCTTCGAGGCGCAAAGTGGTAGCGTTGGGGGTGCACATCCTGCATGTAACTTGACGATCCGCAATCGTCCGAGGTCGACCGCGGTCGCCGCGTGTCGCGAAGTAGAACGCTGCCTGAAGAAATGGAAGGTGTGCGTGGCGGCAGGGCAGTGATGGTCTGCCGAGTTGCAACCTGTATATTGTGGCGTTTCCCAGCGATCCGTATTGATGTGCGTGTTTGAAGCTGCATCCGCGTGATCAATGCGCTTCAGTCACTCGTTCCAAAAGTCAAGACGACAGGTGAGGAGTATTGTGGAGAGGATCCTAATTGCCGCGCTTTTGCGTGCGACTTCTCGCCCGCAAAGGACGATGGTTTCAGGCAGTAGATGGCGACAACATGCAATTAAGGACCGAAAACAGTAATGAGTGTCTACGATGACGGGGTCTACATGAAGTCCGGTGCTCCATTCGACAGGTTAAAACGAGTTATGAAAACGCCGCGCCCATCGCCGCGCGTGGCGGTGCGGCGAATTACGATCCTCTTTACCGTCTCCCCAGGTTGAGACGCTTGTAAATCCTTTGCTCTGGAATACCTACTTTGTAGAACTCAATAATAGGTTTGCCATGCGGTGTCAACCTCTAGCTCCTCGGAACTACCTCGGCTTTGCGCTACGTAAAGCAGCGTTCAGACTTCGCGACGGCAGCGCTTCGGTCGCGCGTTCAACGCGATCGATGCGCATGCTTTCGACTGCATTGATCGCGTCGAACGCGCGACCGAAGCGCTGCCGTCGCGAAGTCTGAACGCTGCCTAAGAGCGTACAATTCATCAGATGCAACAATACAGTGCTTCAGTGTCATGTCCACAATTAAGTAGAATCCCGGGAAATCAAAGAACTTTGACAGTCGCACGAGACTACCATCATTTGCCCCACCCAGCACATCATCAGTCGTGAGCGGTCTACGAACAACTTGAACTTAATCCCTTTGTAGAGATCGATCTTATGTTTTTATCTGCAAACTTTTTCTCCGCACTCTAGTTCGTATGGCATTCTGTGATCATCACTCCTTTCCACAGGTGAAAAGTGGCTCATTCACCATGTTACATGGTTTCACCATGGAATCATGCACAAAGTTTCAAGGTGTCACGTAACCGACCTCGCTGCATGGGGGCCGTTACCTTCCAGTAAGGGCATCGCAATACGAGTTGACTTGGGAGATAGAGGCGACGCGCAGATGTTGCATGGCGGCGAAGGTGCTCCGGCTAGGGGTGCCCCTCGTCTACTTTTCCGACCATGTTAAACACACTAATACGCGCCGTGGCAGGGGAGTAACGCTTCATACACTCGCGCATACTACAGAGAATTTACTAGCTACGTGGGAGACCTGCAAGAGAATCGTAACTTGCCGCTCCGCCGCACGGGTGATGGGCACGGCGTTTTCTTAGCCCTGAACCTGTCAATCTTGGAGCACCGGAACTTCATCTAGACCCCGTCATCGTAGACATTCATGATATTTTTCGGTTCCAAATTGCTCCGTTGTCGCCATCTTCTACCTGGAAACCGTTTGCATCGGGCGCGCGCGACGCCCACCAGCGCGGTAATTACGATTCTCTTGTCACATACCCATGTGCCTTGGCACTAGCTGCTATCTCCCTCCCCCCTCTATAGTTCTCGCCCCATCGAGGGCAGTGTATATAGCACATATAAAAAGCCAGAAAAAATCCACCAAAAAGCAACCTCTTCCAGAAGGCCAGAACGCAAATACGACCCCCTCCGTTTTAGGGTATTCCAATGATACCTTGCCTGGCGCGTATGGCCATTGTTTAAGCAATGACTTTGATAGGTAGATATTGACTTGCACGCTTCAAATTGATATTCATCTTTAACTGTAAGGTCCCTGGTGTAACGGAAAGGTACCACGAATATCTGATTCTCGGCAAGTTCAATCATTCATTTAACGTTTATTTATTTCTATTTATTTTATTTATGCTTTTTGAACGTTCGTTTTGTTTGGTCGATTCATTTCAAGCTCTTTCAAGAAGGCGAAGGCCGATCTCTTCCCTATACGGAGGAACGGCTATTTGTATTCCAACTGGCAGACCAACGCATCCCTGCAAAGTGGTTGTAATACATATCGGAATAAACTGACCACTATGTACTGATTTTCTTTCACTAACCTTGGAGTCAGTTTTGATTAGTTTATCCCACGGGTCCTTCTCTGGATAGGATACTAATGCCTTCTCATCGTCTTCGTTGACGTTCGTAAATGGTACAACGCCTAAATAATAACTATCGCTTCATTGAAAAAAATTGAAGGAACGGAGGAAATTTACCAGCAGCGAAGTCAAGAAGATTGAAAATCGCGTTGTAGCAGCAACCCGCGAACAGTTTGTTAGGGATTCCCTTCTTCATAGGGTATACCGCCTAGAAGCATTTCCATTTACGTTCTGAATAAAAACTCAAAAGAACTTTCTCACCATTGCAGGGCACAGAATTGCATCAATGTTCTGTGCTATCATTTGTTCAACGAACTGCGCCCGATAGTTTTCAATACAGCCAAATATGTCACGCATTTCTAAATAAATTCCACTAGATTTGCTGAAGATCGTGTAAGAGAGAAACAAAAATGGTAATGAGGTGACTGAGGGGTGGGGAGTGTTAGTGGGTTAAGGCGACACTATACCCACTCTCTACTGATTTGTACTTACAGTCATGATCCCTGCAAACGATAGCGAGACGTGGCTTGGTTTGGAGTGCAGTCACGGTGGTCTTTTTCTACCAATAATGCCATCCTAAGCCCCCGACAACTGGTGGGAAATCTGAACTGGCTGCGCTTCAAGTCGTCCCCCGTCACGCGCTGTCGTTTACAGGAATCATGACTGTACATCGGTGTCAAACATACTTCACTCCTTCTCGGCTGACAGGACGCAGATGACAAGAAGGGGGTGAGTGACACTAGTATTGTCAGACTGTCTTCCTTTCCCCTTCTTCCCAACCCTACTTTAATGCGCGTGGAGCCAGCACCGCCGTTGCAAAAGTATCGCCAGGCAGGCCCACGCAGCTTAGGATATCCGAGTGATCGCGGCCTCAGCAAGTGCTGAGTCCCTTTGCCCAGCCGACTTGACTTATCGTGACTTGGTTTTTTTTGCATCACTTCTATTTTATTCTGTTGCAAATACCGAGATCTTGCGCGTCAGATCGTCTGAACTCCTGCTGAACAGCCGCGAGAGTGTGTCAATAATGCGGTGATGTGAGCTGGCTGGCACCAAAGTAAAAAGCCTGTCCTCAGAAAGGTGTGTTATTGGCAGGCCAAGAACCCTATCAAAGGCAACTTATTTTACGACAAAGGCATCTGTTCTCTCAGAGCTGTACAGAGGAATGAGTGCAGGGTGGATAGACAGTGGGTTAACCAACTATAAAAGGGGAGGGCGCTCCAGCGTCATCGGGTCGAATGGCGTCAGACCGCACTGCGAGCCCGAATCAAAGGGCCTCCCCACTAGGAGCTGTGGCTCAGTGCACTTCCACCATGACTTTGGGATTGCCTCTTGCTATTACACCCACTGCCTTTGCAAAGTGTGAGGTTTAGTGGAATGCCACCCTAGTATCGCTTAGGCCCTCTGCCACAGTTTCGTTCAAAGGACGGCACCTCTTGCTGGAAGTGAAGATGAAAGCTGCAAACCTTCGCAATTCGCTGGCAGCGCTGAAAGCACTGATTTTACTCGTGGGTATACAGATGAAACTTTGCGATTGCGGGTGTGCATACCTAATGGGTGACGCGAGCATGACTGGATGGACTGCCGACTCCGGAAGAACAATATCCTAAAAGACTTGGAGTAGAAATGGTTGCTTTCAGGCGGGAACAACTTTTACCCACCTTCTCTCAGCTTTTTGGGCTTGTAGAGTATCGTGCTCGCATACCAGGAGTTGTCACCTCAAACGAGATAGCTCCGAAAGCTCTCTGAGGCTGTCGAGTACTTGAAGAATGGAACCAAAGTATGAACCAAGACCCTCTAGAACCTTTTTTGCCTCCAAAACGGCCCTCTGAAGGTATCAAGTAATTCAACATTTGAGGAAGGATGCAGCAAACAAACCTGGTTGGCAGGTGTTGGAGTAATGAACCCGTCTGTGGTGTAGAATCCTGAAATATATGCTTCGAGGCCACTTTTTTGACTCTTGATGGTCCTGTTGGTTCAATGAACGAAGCGTGACGTCACTATGTACACTCTTAAGCGGTTCAAAAGGAAGGCCTATAGGGCCAACGTAGATATGCCTTTCAGTATAAGGACTTGTCATACCGATTCTCAATTTCTTTTCTGAAGAACATGTCTTCTCTGCCCAAACAACCGGGTGGAACGTATGGATCCATTTCGTAGAGGTAGAGATCCGACCAGGCCTGCAAATAGATACGGCTCACTCTAGAAAAACGTTACAAAACAGTCAGTTACTTGAACTTCACCACTTTGAGGAATATTTCAATACAACGTAATTATGCTTTTCGCCATCGGTCCTTCATTGCGCAGCAACCCAGTTGACCGTCCGGAATTGGTGATAAGATGAGCGAAAGTGTGCTGAGAGGCGAGTGAAGCATGCGCTGCAATTCTTCTATTTCATGCGACCTCCGCCCACTCCTTGCGCGCGCCGCCCACGATGGGTGTGGCGTCCCTAGCTTAACTCATTTGCCTTTCGCTCTTTTCAGGTAGGCTCGTCTATCCTACGAGTATCATGACCACTACGGAACCAAATTTAGGGTTTTTGTCATGGACACCTTTGTTGTTACGGAAGCGTACCGAACTAGCTGGGAGCGCTGCTAAGGGTGTATAGTAGTTTTCGCTCGCTGCAGACGCTGAGGCATGTCAGGGGCTGGGTCTGGCGTGGCGCCAACTCTTTTTCCATCAATTGCTGCTGCTTGCTCGCTTCAGCTTGGTGGAGAACGAGCTAGCTCCGCGTAAACCCTGCCCTTCCCCCTGTCGCACTCCCATGCGTCTGCAGCGAAACGGCTGCAGCTCACATATACCTCTGAAATACAATGTTAACTTTTCCAAGAGCACACCCATTCTCTCCAAGGCAGAGACCCCACATTCCGTTTGGCTCCTCAAGTAATGCTGAATCAGGCGGGGATGGACAGGCAGACAGAAGAAGAGTCCACCGAAAAGCCAAAGTAGCAATTTATGCTCAGCACTTTGTAATAGTAGGAATGGCAAGAATAGTGAAGATCACCGATGTCATGCTATAGTCGGCCGGTCTTACTTCTAGCAGAGGAAATCTGCCGGCCACGCGGAATTTCCAATTGTCTGGATTGGAGTGAGACCCGGTTCATGAAAATACAAAGTGAGGCGCTGTTTGTCGAACGGGGGGGGGCATTTTGTACTACTATTGCTTCCCTAGTTCCGATTTACAAATTTCACCCT